GGAGGAGGAGGAGGAGGAGGAGGAGGAGGAGGAGGAGGAGGCGAAAGAAGACGGTAGCGAATTCAGAAAAGAACCTAGAAGTTTATTGTAGGGAGGAATAGAACGACAATGAAAACAAAAGTGCTACGCCAGACATGTCCGCGTCAAAAATATTTCCGGGTGACTAGATTAACTGTCCATAGAATCAAGGACGGGGAGGTGGAGGGGGGTCAAATGAGGGCAGAGAGCAGCTGGGGAAAAAAGAAGCAGACAGTAAGGAATGGATGAAGTCAATGAGGAGGAGGGGGGAGGGGCGGACAAGAATTTTCTGTTACCGCAAAAGACGGTTACGTATTTACACATCGGCACTTACACAAAGACGATAAGGGGCGGGTGTCGGGATAGCCGCCGACGGGGAGAAAAATACGTTGGTGAATATGTAGTGAAAGAAGACGTGGGGGGAAGGGGGATGGGCAGGACACAAAGAGGTCGTGGGGTGACTGAGGGTAGGGAAATAGACTTGATCATACTGTCCTTTTATCGCTCCACTATGGGGCAGATCATCGTTCCAGGCTTTTATACATATACTCATACGCTTGGAGAAGAGTTCAAGCGTGCAAACACAGTAACGTAGGTAATTGGAGTTTAGTGGGAAGGGCGAGTGGTTTGTGGCGATTTACAGGAGACTGCAACCGCCCTTCTCCTGGAATGGATTGTCCTTTTTCGAAGGGAAGCCGTTGACTAGGCAGTCCTTGTCGCGGTACTGTTCCATGTAGCCTATCATCTCCCGCACGCACTCTGACACGGGACGACGATGGACTGATGCTTCCTGTCTAAGCTGCTCCACCACTTTCCTCTGCTGGCTCAGGGTCGACATGACCTCAAAGTATATTTCTGCCGAAAAAAAAGAGGAAGGAGAGGTTGGTAAACCTTTAGCTGGCAGCAAGGCCCAACAGTTGATTGGTTCCCCAAAAATACCAATAAATTGACGAGAACATGATAAACAGAAATTCTATTGGTCGCCGGATGGACTAGCCAGTTAGGCCGCGGTTCTAAAGCGGTCGTGGCAACCTCCGAGCCTTCTAAATATATGATTGGTTGTCCTGTGGTCGTTAAGCGCGCAGTGACTGATTCAGCACCTAACCTCT